GCATCGTAATATTACCATGATAAATGTATATTAAGTAGCATTAACCAACAATATCAAATGATCCTGAGTCTGCATATCCTTGCATGCTTTGTCCCTTGCCCCGGGACCTCCTTAACACTGCCTTAACGCTGCCCTAACACTGCCTTAACGCTCACCCCACGCCTCCCAAAACCCCGCAAACAGTGTGTGTGTGTATATATATATATATATACACACACACACACACACACACACACACATACACAATAATGTATAACTTTACATTGCTTTAGTTGAAAACATTAATCTAGGCATTGAAAGGAACTTAAAAGCCTTAAAACAATATTTAAATATTTAATAGCATCTCCAGAATAGTTCTTCCCATCACCCTGACCAGGATGGAGGACAGATGGATAGATAGACTACTTTAGTTTTTTTCCTGCATTGTTGAAAATATAGGTTTTATGAAGATTATAAAAATGTTGTAGGGGTCAGAATGATTAATTGAGGGGAACTAAGAATCAATCCATTAAAACAGCTGCTGTTAATATTTAATTAGCTCCTTATTCATTCATATCAGCCAAAAAATAAATAAATGAAAAAATAACCGCAAGCAGTTGATGGGATCTTAGTACTGTAAAATGACTAAAGACTACAAATCAATCATGCAGTAATAAAAAATCACAACCCACAGACGGTGCCTTTAAGCGAGCAGTCAGGAAGCTGCCGGTCTGTCCGCCCCTTTTCCACGCCAGCCGCTCTACTCACATGCTGCGGGACGGGAGCCTCCCAGGTTCGCTCCGGCTGCACGACCCCCCGGACTCGGACCTTCAGCATGCGGGGCAGACAGCCCGCCTTCCAGTTAATGCGCCTGCAGCGCTTGCGGCTCGCCGGGCTCCGGCGCCGCGTGGGGAAACCCAGAGAGTGCCAACTTGAATATTGCAGACGAAGAACTAGAATGTTGCTCATTTGCAAAGTGCAAGACATATACGTCAAGCTTAGCAGTTCTGCACAGATGAGAGGTAAAGCGTCCATCTTAGAGAGATGCTTTAAGAAGCCATCCACTGGCACTTTAAAAGCTTTAATTACACCCAAATGCAAATGCACGGTTCTCTCATAAATACTCCCTATATGTCTGCCGTCCATCCATGTATCCTCCTGTTTTATCTTTTTTAAGACCTTTTTAGCCTATTTGCTGAGTACTTACATACAGACCATTGCAGACACTAGACCACTGTGTAGGGGCTGTCATGGCGACGCAGACGTTTGGTCCCCAGAAGGAAAGAACCCATGAAAATATGACCGGAGAGCTTCAGCATGATGACACGTGGTCATGTGAAGATGCCCCCTCCCTTCCCCGGTACTGCAATGTGACTTTGGTGTGAAACACAGACTCATGGCTCATGTCTTCTTCTACTTAGCAACAGAATGCTGACTCATCTCAGTCAACGGTGCCCACGCAGAGCGGAGGGCGTCACTGACATCGGGCTGCTGCCAATGCGGGCGGGCCGGCGCCACGGGGGTGGTGTAGTGGGGGGGTAGAGACGCAGCTGAGTTACAAAAAGCTTGGTTACAAAAACCATCTTTGGTCCATCTGCCAGTGCTTACCGTAAGTGGGTTAGTCTGCGGGTCACCGTGTGCAGAAGGAGCCGTCGGCTGTGTGTCACACCGTTACGGTGACGTGTATCTACTGCAGGGTCACATTGACGTTTCCTCAAACCTCTTGCCCCCAAGTACGCCTCATATCAGCCACGGCCTGATTTGAACACCTGTTGAGTCTGCTGATCGCGCAAGCAGTGAAAGGAGAGCAACAGTACGTGCCGAAGGACAAGGGGCGTGCGATCCCACTTAACGGGGGGACCTAAACGTCATGTCAGGATATGCGCAATGGTGACCCAGAAGATCCGGAACTGATAAACAACCTCTCAATTAAAACTATAAAACTGCAGAACATAACTAGGCTTCTCAATATCAAAACTGACAGGGTGTACTTCAGTGCTCACTTCTTGCATAGGATACATTCAACATGATTGTACTAAAAACTGATACAAACCTTTGGTTAAGTATCACATCTACCAGCCTTCAACAACCACCTGGCATGTGAACCGTCAGCAACAAGGAGGGTTGGAAAAAAATACCCAACACCTTGCTGATTTTTTATTTGGAGCGGGTAAATGTTCATTATTTCTGAACTGCACGTGAAAAACAAGTCCAGTCCCACCGATCAAATGCACCAACAAAGTCCAACAGAATTCATGTCCATGGTTAAATCCAAAGAGAGTCCATCCATCTTTTATCCTATAGGCCAAATGTTTGCCCTCTTGCCCATCACACTCTACAGAATCCCTAACAGTAGAATAAGGAAACATGTAGCCAAGCCTGCAGGTATTAGGGACTCAATGGGCCCCAGGAAAGTCATACTGGGTCCCCAGACTGGACGTTCCAATATTCTAGGGCCCCTCTCACTCAGGGCCCTGTGCCGTCTGGGATAGGCCCCAGGGCCCCTGTGCCGTCTGGGATAGGCCCCGGGGCCCCCTGTGCCGTCTGGGATAGGCCCCGGGGCCCCCTGTGCCGTCTGGGATAGGCCCCGGGGCCCCCTGTGCCGTCTGGGATAGGCCCCTGGGCCCCCTGTGCCGTCTGGGATAGGCCCCGGGNCCGTCTGGGATAGGCCCCGGGGCCCCCTGTGCCGTCTGGGATAGGCCCCTGGGCCCCCTGTGCCGTCTGGGATAGGCCCCGGGGCCCCCTGTGCCATCTGGGATAGGCCCCAGGGCCCCCTGTGCCGTCTGGGATAGGCCCCAGGATCAGGATAAATGACCTTTTTGATAAAACTATTACACATCCTAAAACAGGCAAACGCTGATGGGGAAACACACACAGGATGTTAATATCCCCGTCATAAAGCTGCAGATATTCTGCCTATGTATTTCTAGAAAGTATTAATATTTCAGGTCTGCATAACACTCAATACAAAAGTTATTTGCAATTCAGGCCTGGTTCCACAGCATCATTTTAACTCCAGAATTGAGTGACTTGCAATACTGTCCTTCTGACGTCAGGTGTGGTATGCGGTGGTGACCTGAGTCAACGGTCCGTGGAAGACGGTACAGTAAAAAATTTCCTCATGTTAAAATCTCTACTGCATGGTGGTAGTGAGTTTTTTTTTTGTTTGTTAATTTTTTTTAACCTTTACATTTAACTCCTATGCACATTATTATTATGATCAGTGACACCCTACGGTTAGCATCCAATTCTGAGAGCTTCTGCTGACTGTTCGGAATCGCTTAAGTGTTCGCTACCAGCGCAACACAGACGAGCTGGGTCATATTGTAAATACCGTCGCCAGTTTAACGTAACGAGGCCACGCCAGACTGCATCACTAAGGTCACCGGATCTAGTGTAATTTCTGTGCCAAGAACCCAGCTGGTGACTACGATTAAGATCAGAGACTATAAAGAAGATTGCGTACACGCCAGCTTGGGTAGGTCAGTCTGGTGGCATCTGTGTGCCTGAAACTAGTTTAAGCGAGTTAGTGATCTTCCTACTTCTAGTCTAAATTCACAGAAGGTCCAACAACATCTAATGTCAATGGCAGTGCGATTCGGCTCAAAGTAACAGCGAAACACCAACATCCCGCCATGCTCCCATTGACCTGCCCCCCCCTTAAGTCTGCTACTGTGCGCTTGTGCATTGGGACACTTCGCTGTCTTATTGCAAGTCTGTCGCTAAAAACGACAATGCAACTTATTTTCCAGGGCAAATGGCAAATATAATTCCTGGCGTGAATGCAAATTGTAGTTTGACTGTGCGGACAGCACGGGTTCTGCAGCATTGAGGTAGATGAAGAGAGCAGAAAGACAGACGGAGAGACGGACGGCATGGGGGGGGGGGGTCCTAACACCAGGCAGCTCATCCACTTTGTATGGCGACAGGAGGCCAGTTATTAGCTGCTGACAACTGCTAAAAACGTTGGTGCCATGATGTTAGGAGCCAGCTGTGCAAGTTAATCCATTATTTATATCAAGACAAAGTAACCAAAGAGCTTTTTCATCAGGACGAATCCCAATGCAACGATGCCAAACCCCCCCCCCCCCACCCACGTTACCTAGGTTACATTGTAGCTCACTAATAATGGAGAACGAGCAAGCTGTCATCGCCCACCCAAACTGACCAGCAGCGTCACGCTGTCGAGTAACACTTTCCATTTTAGGCTAAGTCCAGACCCATGAAACGACATCATTAAGCCACTTCACAGGAGTGTGTCACCCCCAAAGGCACCCAGTTACAATACAAACAACGCAAATATTAGCTTCTTCCAGTGGTGATCCATGCTTACCACCTTTATTTAACAGCTAAAATAAATATCTGCAGTTTGAACGAGCTCTCCTCCTCACTTAAGATGCACCAATTTGCAACGGCAACATGACAATTAATAAAAAGGCCTGATCTCGGAGCCGCCTATCCCTGCGCTGTCGTCCGATCACGGTGAAGCTCATTCTCAAACCTCTGTCCTCTCACGTCGCTCTGTTACAGAGCTTTAAGTTTCAGATCAAACACCTCGACAGTGTTTTATGTCTTTTGACCCAGCGAAGGTGCTGGAAAGGCCAGAAATTCTGACGATGGGAAACATGTAGGTCCTGGCCAGAAAAACGAGGTACTGAGCCCAATAACAACCCTCTGCTCTGGCATCGACTGAACCAATGCAGAAGCAAGGCCGTTGGTCATCGGGTGCCCACAGGACCAGTGCCACCGACGACAGCAACAGAATATGAAATAAATCATTCCTGACATTTGCTTACCAGGTGCCGGATCCTCTCCACCACTCTGAAGCACATACTAAAGAGGCTACAGAAGACACCAGCACAAGCCGACTTATTTTGTTGCCCTGTAACGGAAATCCAGTACCTTCCCACGCACCTCCGATGTCCCACACAGCGCTACCCTTCAAGGACTACAAATATCCAAATGACTAAGACAGTGACGGAGACAGAGAACGGGCTATGGGTTGATGGAAAATCACTCACGCTGTGCTGACTCATCAAGCCACGGCTTCCTGCCAGGGCGTGCTTTATGCAGCTCCACTGATGACTGGTCAAGTTTTCACGATCCCTACTTGCACCTGGGTGGCTTTCTCTGGGGGGGGGGGCGTGTAGGTCGCAGTGTATTTCCGCCGAGCCAAATCACACCCTGCACCATTATTCCACTCTGGTTTTGTCCAGCTTCCCCTGAAGTGTCCCTGCTGAAGAAAAAGTTGAAGAGTATCTCTGGGGGGAGTTGGAGATCAAGTCTGAAATCAATGTCCAGTACGGGTGATGTCCAGTAGAAATCCGTGTCATCTTTGAATGGGTCGACCATATCGATTCCCTCACACAACTCACCAGAGGACGAAGCCGTCGGCAAAGCTGATTCCTCCTCCATTCCTGTAAGTGAAACACAGAAATCAGATGGAGCCATAGTCTAATTATTGCATTATATATCTGCCGATGTCAAACTTCTCCTCATCCTTTAAGCCTTTGGTTTCATCGTCCAGAGCGCTCCCCGAGACAGTGAGAGGCCGAGGGCGGCAGAAGCAGGAATATGCGAGTCGATAATAAGACAGCAAGGGGGGACTCTGTGGGAAATATGCATTCTTCCAAACAAACATTTCCTGAGCTCAAGTTCCCAGGCCGTGCGATCTGAGAAAAGGGGAGAAGAGGCGGACACGGCCCACACGCTGAGCTAACTCTGCCGCTCCCTCAGGACAGGCAGGCAGCCAAGCTGCAGGATGTCCAGAGACGCTATCGACAGAGGCATTGTCCTCCTTAATAAGCTACCTAACAGCTGATTGTCTTCAACCTCAACAACTAGATAAATTTTTAAAGTTTCTACAGCTTGATTCTGAGCACCAAGCAACGCCGGCATCATGGCATTGAACTGTGAAAAAAAGGCGGGAAACGCCGTCAAGGCATAAAACTTTTGTGAAAAGTGTCACAAAAAACTAAACAGCGGTGGTTTGCAAAAAGTAGCACTAATCGCTTGTCTTTGTATGTTAAATAAATTCCCGGCTCAGGGCTACCGGAGTCCAAAGGGCTAACGACGCCACACGGAGGCCGTACAGACAAGGCGTTTCCCCTTTCAGGCCTGAAATTTCAGCTGCCATGAAGTCTTGGGTTTGGGCTGATGAACGCTGCTACAGTGTGAGATCAATACTCGGCAGTGGGTGCGATCAGCCGGGGTTCCATTTTCACTTCAGCACTGAGGTTCCCAAAGCAAAAACAAAAATCGTCAAAGTAACATGACGGTTACGGCACCATTTAAGATTAAAAAAATCAAAACTGCAGAGACGACTCCTGTTTGTCAGAAAGCTTTTCACAATACAGACATTTCCATCTGTTGTCAAAATAATGTCTCATATGATGAATCAATACCGTATTATGTCCACCCACTCACAGAAAAAGGTGATCATTGCGATAACTGCAAAATGTTTCACACATGTGACTTTATAGAAGGCAATCTGTGATAAATGGAAGGCTCGGTCTTAGTGAGATTCTGGTAAATCACCCTCTTCTAACATGTAAATAAATATCCACACGTCACTTCGTCAAGGGAACCCAAGCTCCAGTGTGGAAAGATACATTTTCACATTATTTCACGTTGTAACGTTTCTTGTGTACAACTTTCACATAGGTTATGCATCTTATGTGGTCAACTATATAAATGATTATCCATCCATCCATCCATCGCCCAACCCGCTTATCCTACTGGGTTGCGGGGGGTCCGGAGCCCGTCCCGGAAGCTATGGGCACGAGACAGGGAACAACCCTGGACAGGGGGGCAGCCCATCGCAGAATAAATGATTATATTAAAATTTAATAATTCTGCCTTCAAAAAACAGGGTTTTACTGTTTTACATTTTTTTTATTTTATTGTTATTCAAACATTTAAATTATTGCTTTTATACAAAGGAACAGTGCAGTGGACTGAGTGATTAGTAGTGTGGTCATATTTGGTTGTTCTTGCATATTGATACAAAACCAACCAGGCATGATTCAGGCCTATATGGGAAACAAGAAGCATCACATTCTGATTTAAAAGGTGCCCCGACATGGACCGTAGGCCGTATGACATGTGCTGCCATATCAATCGGAATACCGTGGTGTAGCAGGCTGACATCATGAGTCTTGGTGCCGTTGCAGTACACAGGGCGTACGGGTGAAGGTGACTTAAAGAACCACATGGGCGTTATATTCCTCCAATCAGAACAGGAGATGGGAGCACATGACGCCGGGCTTAGGGGAAAGACAGAGCCCTTCACTACAGAGTAAGACGGGGGGAGGGTGAAGGTTACATGGACTAGAAAATAAAACACTTTTTGCAAATGAGAAAATGAACAACAAGAATCTAAACCAGCAGGAAACTAACACAACATGCCCATAAATAATCTTAGTAACACTTCACCTGAAGCTGTCATCTATAATGTACTATAGATATCATCCTAATGCATTATAATGGTCAGTACATGAATTAATAAAGCATTGCAGCATCTTTTGCTATATTGACAGTCATAAGGTTTACATTATAACTCCAGTGAAGCTCTCATCTATAATGAACTACAGGTACCTTCATAGTGCATTATAATGATTGGTATAAGAATTAAGGATGATTACAGTAATACTGCATTATGAAGGTGCCTATAGTGCATTATACTGAACATGGCTCTACTTAGGGCTGGATGATATATTGATAAATTATCCTATCGTGATTACGCACATTCATATTGTCATAAATTTGAATATTATATTGTGATACAGCCTAAAGACTTGTTTTCTTGTATATTCACAGTAATAATGAACTGTTTTTACATGAATTCCATCAAGGTTTAAGTCTGTTGCTGGTAATTTTTCGTTATATCTGTCACATGCTCCATAATTAACAGTAACACAATTTGGTCATCATAATCAGAAAAACTCAAAAATCACCTGTCATATTTTACTGTCTTCTATGCATGAATTTTACAATACTGTGACAATTATCAATATCGTGAAAATCTGATCGTGAAAAAGTATTGCCATATCATTTTTAGGGCATATCGCCCAACCCTAGATATAATGTGTTACGCCTTTATAACTATTTATAGCCATGTTTATACTGCTTTATGAATGTGTTAATATATGCATTATAATGCATTATTATGTGTTATGAACGTGTTCATAGATTTTTATAGACATGCATTTATAGAAAGTGTTACCATAATCTTTCTGAGAGGGATGGACAGGCAGAACTAATCACCAGGAGTCCTCAGGTCCCAGAACATGCCTGCCCTCCTTCCTGCAACGCTGACTGAAGGCCCTAGGAGCTGATCAGGGACTCTTTTCTTACAAAGACTGTATTCTGGTTCCGGTCGGCGCCGTCTTCCTTATGTAGCACCAGGGAGGCCCATGCCAGCTGCTGATAGGCCACACTCAGCCTCCGCACTTGTTAAATTCAGTCATTGTTCACTTAGCCACTTACCGCAGCTGGTTTTTCAGGTGTACGTCAGCCACCAATCAAAGAGCAGGACTGCCCCCCCCCCACCAAGATGTCCAGGTCTGAATCTGGTTGGTGGTATTTCACATAAAAGATATCCACTGATTTCAGTGGCCAAAAACATTAAGTCAAACAAAAATGCAACCATAATCATGCCAGGGACTGAGTTGTAGTTCCAAGCAAGAACAACATGATTATTAACATTTCCCCACTGACCAGTAACCCTCCCAGTGAGTCCCTTTCATTTCGGGCCTGAGTACAGCTTCTCCCATGCAGTCAGCCTATGATCTGAAGCACCCTGATGATTTCTGTACATAAGTTTGGAAACTGAAGACATTTAACCGCGGTCAGGTCCTTTACCGTCACGTTAGGTGCCCTTTTCAAAAACACATACAGCTTTTGTTTGCCGTGCTTTCAGTTTCTCCTCTCCGGAGCTTGCAGTCAACAAGACGGCTCTCTTACGGTATGTGTGCTCTATATGTACCCTGCTATGTGAGAGAATCGCTTTGCGATGAGTAAGGCGGCCTGCCGTGACTCATTTCGCCTTGAAACCGGCCCCTTTTTACGCATGGTGTTTCCTTCAGTATCACTGTTTGAGAATTACGATTTGACATTTAAGGGTCAGTTTAGGTGAACCTCTTATATTTGCTCGTAAGGAAAAACAGGGCCCATTAAGAGCGAGAAATGAATCATTATGTTCTGATGCCGTGTTCATGTAGTGGGGCTACCTGCTGCTGCGTCCTGCCCACAGACTGCCCACAGACTGCCCACAGACTGCCCACTTCTGCCAGCAATTTGGATATTAAGCTATTACTTATTTATTAATTAACTAAGTCTTAGTTACATACTGACCTCATGTTCGTAACGCATGTTTTATCTCAAATAGTTACTATATTTGATATCTGTTAATTCCGTAAACCTTTGTGAACTACTGAAGGAAGAAGTAATGAATAACACAAGTGAAATACTGATCTCATGTTTGTTCATCATTATTGACGCATCTTTAATCTCAAGCAGCAGATGTTCATGATTTGTACTTCAGTCATAACTGAGTCATTAAATATTAGTAGCGCCATTAAATATTTGCGCCTGTCAAGTATTACCAGACTAATTGAAAAATGTCTTCTCTGGCTTTGATGGGTGTCAGCTGATCCTGAAGGCCCGGGGATTCCTGAACACCGACGTCACACACACAGACCATATGGCCATCAAGGGTCCCATGGGGGATAAAGAGAGAGAGAGAAAGAGACTCCGGTCATGTGACCCTCCCCATGAGGATTCCATTCCCACGCTTCCGAGCAAGACTTTCCCATATCCGAGTGGCCTACTGGTCCCAGGACAGCCCCCAGTTCAGTTAATATGAGTTCTTTTCCCATGAAAGGAATGGCAAGGAATTTTTTGTACAACCCACATGTTTACACTGGTGTGTGGGAAAAAAACAGGAAGATGGATGTAAATCCCCTTAATAACAGGAACAAGAGATTGAACTGTGAGGTGTGGAACACGACTTTCAGGTGAAAAGTCAAATACACTGTATATTCAGCCCAGGAACATACTGCAGTATTTAAGAGTCTCACACAGGAAAAAAAACCTGAGAATAATGAAATATGAGGCTGGCTGGCTGTGTGTTACGGCGTGGGCCTGTAGATGCCGTTAGGTGAGCTATGTGATATTTACATCTGAGTAATGGGAACAGTGGCCCCGATCGGACTGAATCAGAGAGAGAGAAGAGTTTCTGACACATGTGGAAATGTACCATAATCTGGAAGCAGTGCTCACCCATGCATTTTAACACACCATTCATACTTTCCTTTGACCTTAAATTTGAGAGTGCTAATTCTATAGAGTCCTAATTGCAGTGTTCTGAGTGAAAATCGTGACCTGCGTCTCTAATATGCACACAGAAATAACACCA